AAAAAAAAAAAAAAAAAAAAAAAAAAAAAAAAAAATATATATATATATATATATATATATATATATAAAAAACATGAGAAAAATGCTTTACAATACAGAAGAGCCATTAACATTCACGGAGGCAGTTGGCTAAGTTTTATCTTCTTCAACTTCTCTCCATGTATCAAACATGGTGTACCTCAAACCAACTTTTCTATTTAATCAAAGCATCATCACATGATATTTGAAACTGGGTAAATTTTAGCTTGTTCAATATGTCTTTGCTAGTTAATGCAAAAAATATGAATACAAAGATAAACACAAATTCTATCTAACACTTAAGAAAAAGGGCATGTCATAGACTGCTCTTCAAGAAGCAAATAAAACCATGATAAGCAATGAATCCAAAATCCTGGGCTCTAAATGAAATTGAAGCCAATCTCAATAATGTATTAACCCACCTCGTGCTCGCTCGCTCTCTATAACGATACAACTCTCACTTTGCTTAATATACATAAAACAAATTTAAGGCAGGAAAAAAGGAACTTACCCACTAAATTCTCTTTATCCTGTTTCTCTGGGGAGGATGCCCCAGGATCCATCTCATTCTTGAGAAGCTTTTATACTTGGCAAATATTCATAGGTTTGGAGCCAGACCTGGGCTCCAGGCAGCACCCAGGTGTGCTTCAGAGAAGGCAGAGCAGAGAGACGGAATGAGAGTGAGAGAAGTTCCTCCTCTTCCGTGAGCACCCTGAGGAGTAGGTACCCTGGTGAAGGAAGCCTGTTAACATAAACAAAATGACCTCTTTCATGAGTTCAGGCTGCCATTGTTCATAGAGAGAACTCAAAACTACGTATATGAACTTCTGACTGTGTTGCTTCTTGTAAAACATTACTATGTAGTTTTCTATATAATTTATATTTTATAAAACACTTCTATGCAATGTGTGCAACTTGTTTATCATTATGAACTGTCCGATACACATGGCACGTATCTCCATCCTCATGTTTCAGATGAGAAAATTTCATCCAATGCATTTTACACACTGCAGTGAGTGATTTTTTTGTGTGTGCGTGAGTGATCTTTTGAAACTCAAATCTGATCATATCTCCATCCTGCTTAAAATAATCCAATGACTGCCAATTATTAACATGTAAAGATGAGAATCCTAAGTATCCTAAAGGACCTGCTAGTCTGTCTCTCCTTCCCTTTCCAGCCTCACTCACATGATACTCCCCTCACGCACTTAGCAAGAGCCCCATTGGCCTTCTGTCAATCCCACTAACCTATATGTGTCTTCTGTGCCACAGGGCCTTTGCACGTTACCATATGCATAATTCTTTGGTTCATGTTTGTTTCTTCCTCTAGACCAGGGGTTGGGTAACTATAGCCTGCTGGGTAAATTTGCTCTACCACCAATTTTTGTAAATAAAACGTTATTGAAACACGGCCACGTCTGTTTGTTTCTATATTGTCTTTGGTCACTTTTGCACTAAACCTACCTATTGAGTAGTTGCTATAGAGACTGTATAGCCTGCAAAACCTAACATATTTACTATCTTTCCCTTTACAGAAAATGTTTGCTGACTCCTACGCTACATTATAGCTTCCATGAGGGGAGTGGCTGGCTGGGTCTGTTATTTAACACAGCACCTGCAGCATTTAGAACAATGCAGGCACATAACTGTCATCCAACAGTCACTTGCTGAATGCATGAATAAGTAATTTATCAAAGATAACAGCTCACAAATGGCAAAGTTCTTTCTCGAATCCAGATCCCTGGGCTCCTGTCCCAGGAGTCTTTACTTCATCATATTACTCAGAAACAAGGGCAATATTGCACTCATTCCAATACTGAAAGCACCAATCTTCTAATTTTCTAATGTTCATCTTTCTCATATCAATATTCCAAATAATATTTTGTTTGTGGAAACAAAACAACACAAAACAACCTCTGATATTTCCCAGCTTATCTTTTCTAGTCTTTTCTTTTCTCCCAACCATGTAGTTATTTTCTTCTTAGCAACTTCATCTGAAAAAACCTCCCAGATTGTGGGTTACTTTTGCCAACTACTTGATTCATAACTGCCTTCTCCACAAACTCAAATTACGGTAATAACCAGGCAGGGCTGTCATGCACAGTTGGCAATTATAAGCATTAGTATGGAATATCAGAACTTGGGGAAAGGAGGCTGGGGACCAGAAACAGATCAAAACAGACACACATGCATGCACAGAGTCAGAGACTTTCAGCTTTCGAATACTTTCCTCTGCTTTCTCCTCATACGTCCTTGGTTATGGCTTGATGTGGAAATGATACTACAGGCATAGTGGTTAAGAAGTAGACTCTGGGCTCACGCTGCCTGGATTTAAAGAAATCCTGGCTCTACCATGAACTAGCTGTGTGACACTGGGTAACTTAACCCCTTCATGTTTCATTTTTTTCTTTTCATCTGTAAAATGGGCATGCTGGTGGTCTTTACCAGAGTTGTCTGTGTGACAAATATGTGAAACAGTGCATGTAAAATACTCAGAATAGGGACTTCCCTGGCAGTCCAGTGGTTAAGACTCCACAGTTCTACTGCAGTTGGCACGGATTCAATCCCTGGTTGGGGAGCTAAGATCCCACATGCCACCCAGCACCGCCAAAAAAAAAAAATACTCAGAATAATGACTGGCATTAATACATCATAACTATTATCCCATGAATGGGAGCTGAGCTGTATTTCTCAGGACTCAGCTGTCTTCTTTCTAAAAATGGGAATGCTGGGTTAATTTTCACAATATCGTCTTTTCCCCTTGTTTCAGCTGAGTAGAAGATTGCTTAGTGATTGGATGTGTTCAAACATTCATCACGTCCCTTCTCTCCCTTGTCTAACGCTTCTCCAGTTTGCTGCAAATTTGAAAACTCGAGGTCCGTTCCTGGTTCTGTACTATCAATCCATATACTCCACTGCTTCCTCCTGGCCTCTGCTTGATCATCATGTCACCTTCACTTTGGGACTAACCTCTAATGGAAAGAGCAACATGAAAACTTCCTGTTTCCATCATTTCTTGAGAATAGATCATAGACAGTCTTTCCCTGGAACAGGAAGCTGCTTTCCCTCCGAAACAGATGACCCTCCAAAGTCATGAAAACAACGTGTTTTGGAAGTGCCGGTTTAGTTAATTTCTAAATCCATTTCCCCTTAATATTGGCTAGATACCACTTACACCAGCACCACCAGTCACTGAGGTGCAAGGTTCAAAACAACAGTAACAATAATTGTTCCCTGGTGGTGGCTGGAAAGTCTCCAGAGCACTTACAACAAACACATCCCCTTGGAAGATGACTAAACAACTGTTTTTCTTCTTCCTGCAAAATGTTCCAAATATCTCAGCCTAGAAAGCAAGAATGATTTCAACAACTAAGGAACATCTAGGACATGCTGAGTCCCTAGCCAGGAGCCTCAGGAAATGAATGAAACATAAACCCATTTGCAATGTTTCCTCTTCCTTTGCTAATGATATTAAACCATACATGGGCCAGTTAATGGAATTTTCTCCCCTTTGTCAAGGGGGAGTGGGAGGTAGGGATAAATCAGATTGAGAATTGCCAGAATGCACTTCTGATGAAGATTTTTCTGTGTGTTTCTAAACCTTCATTCTTTCAGTTCCTCAACTAGGCAAAGTCCTGAAATGAGAACAGCTATTTTTTCTAATTTAAATTTTTTTAATTTTTAAAGGTTACTTTCCATTTACAGTTATTTCAAAATATTGGCAATATTCCCAGAGTAGGACAGCTATGTTTTTAAAAGCCTTAATTCTGTTCCTACTCTTGACAGGCAGGATGCCATCCCCAAAGATGTACATTTTATTTTCCCTGAACGTTCATCTTCGAGCACAAAGGGATCTTGAAACCATCCACTCTAGCCACAGGCCTCTCTCCTTTCTGAAGCTTCTGGTTTCAGGAACACTCTTCCGCCAGATGCACCCACCACCATCTCTTAAGATGCACACATCTGTTCCAGGACTTTTGATGGTCCCTTAGGAAAATGTTCCTTGTTCTTTAAATGATGAAGTTCTCTGATTTCATTAACTTTTCATCAATATACATCATCCATTCTGTCTTATTCATTCTCATTCATCCAATACTTTTTTTTTTTTTTTTTTTTTTGCGGTATGCGGGCCTCTCACTGTTGTGGCCTCTCCCGTTGCGGAGCACAGGCTCCGGACGCGCAGGCTCCGCGGCATGTGGGATCCTCCCGGACCAGGGCACGAACCCGTATCCCCTGCGTCGGTAGGCGGACTCTCAACCACTGCGCCAGCAGGGAAGCCCAACACTGATGACTTTTAACTCTTACCATAAACTTTATTGGGCATAAATTAAATTTTAAATTGAAATTGAAAACTTATCATAATGCCCCTCCTGAGTACTAGGACCTTGGGGAGATGTTAATTTTGATCATTCTCCCCAACTTACCTGCTGATATTGGCCAATACTTCATCTTTTAGCTGAACCAAATTAGACATTGTTTACTACTATTGTGTCACCTTTAAAAACAACAAAGGCTCATTAAATCTGATGTGGTGTAAAGTCTTTTCTAAAATTCGGTGACAGTAACTATATTTTATAAATGCACAGACTAGACCCATCTAGCAAATCAAGTGGTGAAGCTTAAAATTAAGGTTAATCAATTACATGAATTGACTGTGTTTCCAAATTCTATGAAGACTACAGGCCTTTATGGAAAGAGGCCAGAGAGGTCCACTTCTATTGCCTTTTCATAATGGCAGTCCTCCCTGTCTGCATATTGGAATCTCTGCAGTAACAATACAGTTTACTATCTCTAATCCAACCTGCATGCTGCAGCCTGATGTTTGCAAAGTGCTTTCTAATAAATTTCCAAGCTGTTGACCATAGAGCAAACGCCCTGCCCCTCAGCATGGCTTTCAAGGTCATTGACCATGAGGTCCCTCCCTTGCTTTTTAGATTCATTCAAACTACAAACCTCATTCAACTCTATCCAGTTGTATGATTATCTTACTTCAACAGTCTGTCACACTTTGTGCCTTTATAAAGTATGTTCATTCTTATTCACCCTTTAAGACTTGAATGTCACTGAGAAATCTTTCTAGATTCCCTCAGGCAGTAAGGTCATCTCCCTCCTATGTATGTTCACAGCACTTGGTAGTACAAGTGGCCTGGTATTGGTGGTAAATGCTTGGTTCAAATTTACCCTTTACTCACTGTGACTTACATCTTGGCTTCTTTATCTGGTTGGTTAGGTTGCTGGTCCTTACCTCATAGGGTGTGAGACACATAAAACCAGGCCCCAGTAATGACTGCAAGTGCTCCAAAAATGCTCTCTTCATTTTTCAGTGCTGAATATGTAGAAGATGCCAGGAATACATCTACAAGACGAGCAGGATGTCATTCCTTTGCTATGATGAGAAGGGGCTTATAGAACAGTAGAAATAAACCTTGTAGTAGCAGCACCATAGAAAGATTACTCATTCAGTAACTTTTTTCTAAATGAACGGTCAACATATATAAGCAATGTATGTACAATATACAATATAATCTTTAAAATGTTTTATGAATGTAGACTAAAAAAGAACAAATGACAACTTCTAAGAAGTGGCATAAAATTAACTATGAGGTTATATTCTGTGTTCAAAGATAATTAAAGGCATAAATAGTCTGTGTCAAGTGTTGGTTATAAGTTTCACGTGAGATATTATTTAAAGGAATGAGCATCAGTAGTAGATACTGACTTTCAACTAAATTCAGACAAAAATGTTCTATATATTAGCTCCAGCACAAAAACTTAAAACACTTACCCAAGCATTGAATAAAACACGTAAAGTATGTCGTATCCATAAGGTTTATTTTAAAAAATTGTTAAAAACTAACCATACAGGAATATTAATATACTTAAAAAGTTTTTTCCCCAGGTTGAAGGAAAATACATTAGCAACATCTTCTAGACACCATCTTTATAAAAGTAAAACTTCTAGATGATGAAATGTACTACAGTAGATTCTATGGTTTATACTTTTAATCACAGGATTGGAAATCATTCTCCCTACTGCCCTGTCCCCCAAATGCGGCAGCTGTTACACTTAATGACATTCAATCGTGTTATACTAGCACAGAACCTTAAATAGAGTACACACTGCATATTTACTAACAGAGCAAGTCTTTCTATCTGTTGTCACATAATTATTCTAGGTAAGCATGTGATTCTAAGTACAAATAGAAATACTACATCCCATGATTGTAAACATTCACCAAGAGCTTCCAGAGTACAATGAGTAATAGAGGTGGCCCAAGGGTCAGTCAAATGTTCCTCACTCATTTGGATACTGCTGAGATTAAGAAATAAGTTTTGAAGGCAAATTATCACAAGCCTTACTTGTATTTCTGTAAGAAAGTAGTTCTGGATATATATGTTTTTAGTTGAAAACACCTGAAAGTCATTCTAAAGACTATATTAAGCACCATTTTCACTTACCTGAAATACACTGAGTTAAATTCAGCAGTACACATATGATCATTAATGTCAGAAGTTAAAAATAACGGTGGGTCTCAAGTTCCCTTTTGTGGATACACATGGAGTACGGATACTGAGTTCCAGTGATGCTAATAGGAAGCACTCTTGCATACCAAGGGTAGTAACTCCCCCAAGGCCACATGCAACCCGTTAAGTCTGAGGCACGACTATTACTTCTGTCAGTGGATGCTGTACAAGCAGATTTAAGGCTGTATTCGGCTATAAAGAGTTCAACCTCTTTAGTATTCTTCTTACATAGATCATATACATGATTCAAAATTTCATAGGGTGGGAGGTGAAAAGTCCTCAAATACTTTTTTGTTTGTTTTTGCGGTACGCGGACCTCTCACTGTTGTGGCCTCCCCCGTTGCGGAGCACAGGCTCCGGACGCGCAGGCTCAGCAGCCATGGCTCACAGGCCCAGCCGCTCTGCGGCATGTGGGATCTTCCCGGACCGGGGCACGAACCCGTGTCCCCTGCATCGGCAGGCGGACTCTCAACCGCTGCGCCACAAGGGAAGCCCCCCAAACACTTTTAAAAATACTATTCTCCATACAATTTATTGTCAGCATATTTACATAGGGGAATGTCCATACTTAAAACCATTTTTAAAAAATGTAACGACGTTTTTTAAGCTCTTATCCCAATTTCCCCAGGATTATCCTCATCCTCATTTCCTGACTTTTGGCCAACTGCACATTTGTGTGTCCAATTGTTCACTGCAGTCCTCAGGCGATTCTGATGTTGCCCTGGAGGAGAATATGCATTTAAATGTATTCACTGCCACCCACTCTGGGACAGGCCTGGTTGCAAAGAAAACGGTGTTCCTGGTGTTGAAGGATAACTAGGAAACCCATCCGGCTGAGCTGGGTAGCTTTCCAGAGCTGAAGCTGAGTGGACCTGATGGAGAGATGAACACACAGGTTAGCAGAGTTCCAAATTCAACCAGGCCTGTACTTGCTTTGGCCTGCCCCACACTACAGATATTTAAACCAGGAAAGAAAGAAAAAATGTTGGGGCAAGGGAAGTCTGTTCAGTCTCCTGAAATTTGTAAGGAACGTTCAAACTTCTTCAGATGTAGAGGTGCATAGAAATGTCTTTAAAATGTTTAATATCCTTTAAAAAAAAAATCAGCAGGTTTTCTAGAGAAAATTCGCCTTAATGGTCCATTATTTTAGCTTAAACTGTAGAAGACCAGCTAAAATTTCACTGCCCCATCTAAAGATTCCATCTGTAAAATCTCCAAACTGAGATTTAAAAGTCTGTAAGCAGGAAAAACAATTCTTACAGATGAAGATACTCTACCACCTTTGTTACCCTTCTGAAGGAAAACAAGAATAATTTGCAGATTCTGGGAGAATTAATCATCAAATCTCCAGATGTTCTGCTAAGAGCCATTTTTTTGGCCAGTGCCAAAATACCACTATTTATCTGTATTGCAAGGTTATCACTACAGAAGCTACGTTACACGTTACCGTTCTATTTCCACCAGGCATTGCCTACTTACCTGCTGTAACAATGCTGACTGTGCGGCTGCATTATGCTGTAATTCCTGCAAGGATGATTGTGAAGGATTCTGGGAAAACCCAGGGATACCAGGGAGGGACAAGAGGCCTGGAAAAACAGAACTGCCTGCAGCTTGAAGTCCAGATGATAAGCTAAAACGATAGAAGAACAGGTCAAAACGCAAATAAGGGGACTTCCCTGGTGGCACAGTGGTTAAGAATCCACCTGCCAATACAGGGGACACGGGTTCAAGCCCTGGTCCAGGATGATCCCACACGCCTCAGAGCAACTAAGCCCGTGAGCAACAGCTGCTGGGCCTGCACTCTAGAGCCCGCGAGCCACAACTACTGAAGCCTGTGCGCCTAGAGCCCGTGCTCCTCAACGAGAGAAGCCACCGCAATGAGAAGCCCGCGCACCGCAAGGAAGAGCAGTCCCTGCTCGCCAGAATTAAAGAAAGCCCGCGTGTAGCAACAAAGACCCAATACAGTCAAATAAATAAATAAATAAATTTAAGAAAAAATGCAGATAAGACATAAAAGCTAGTGCTTCTATATTTGTCAAATACTATCTTAAAATGTTAAAAAAAAAAAATCTGTTCCCTGTTGGAACCATAAAAGTCAGCCACTCACTGATATAAAACTTTCCGTTATAAAGTGTATTATTTTGAATTCAGTGAGTTTATGTTTGCTGTTTTAAAATCAAGATAAATTACCAAATACAAATCCTAAAATTATCTGAGCAGGCATTGTTATTTTATATATTTATCTTAACATAAAACATTTTTCGAGCACCTAAGTGCCGACCCAGAAAAACAGAATTTCGCGCCACCAAACAACTGGATGCCGATTTTCATCTGAATGACTTCAAAACAAGAGCATGAACGAGTTAGGTGAAGGATGCTTTCCCCTCCAGACCATCCACCTACCCGGCTTGCGCAACCAGAGCGGAGTTGAAACTGGAACTAAAGGCGGAGGCGAACCCGGGGAGGACGGGAGCGGGCGACGGGGCGGTGGCAGCGCCGGTGGCGGGCGGCTGCAGCCCCGGGAACGAGGGCAGCGCGGGGGGCGCGCCGGAGACGGAGAAGCCGGGGTAGGAGGGAGCCGAGGCCGGCAGAGGTCCCTGCGCCACGGAGAAGAGCGAGGGCACGGCGGCGGGCAGGCTGAGTGGGAAGGCCGCCGCCGAGGCGGGCGCCGAGGGGCCGGGGGCGCAGGTGGGGGCGGACGAGGCGGGAGCGCCGAGGGGCGGGTGGGCAGCCTGGGCGAAGCCGCTGCTCAGCGAAGTGAAAGGGGGCAAGGCGCTGAAGACAGGGGCGATGGGCGCGGAGGAGCCATGCGCAGGCAGCGGGAGGGAGGGCAGGGGGCTCGAGCCGCTCGGGGTCGCGCTCAGGCCCGGGAGGCCCGGCAGCGCAGGGGCGAGGCAGGACGGTAAACTGACGGGCACCGAAGCCGCCGCGTACGCCCGCCCCAACGCCCCTGGCAGGCCCAGCGCGCCCGGAGCGGGGGTGGGGGGCGGCGGGGGCGCCGGGCCCCTGAAGGCAGAAGGAGTGGGGCTCGCGGGCTCGGTCTTGATCACCACGGGCAGGCTGGTGGCGGCGGGCGTCGACGAACCGGGCGCGTCTGCGTGACTCGCGAGCGGGCCGTGCAGCAGGGTGGCCGAGGAGCCGCAGCCGGCAGGCCCCGAGGAGGCAGCGGCGGCGGGCGCAGGCAGAGCCGGGGGCGTGGAAGCCGCGTTGGCCGCCGGCGAGGGCAGGCCCGGGAACAGGGCCAGTCCCGGCGTGGAGGCCCGCTGCGGGCCGTAGCCCTTGTTAAGGGCGGCCGCCGCAGAGTCGGAACTCTGGTTAGTGAGGGAGGCGAGGGAAGCCAGCCCACTAGTAACGGCGCAGGGTAACGTGGAAGAGTTGATGAGGTTGGTGTCATTTGATGTCAGAAAGCCTTTTAAAGCAGACAGAAGGGGATTATTTACACCCAGTGGACAGGCAACAGTGGGAGCAGAACCGCAGGCGATTACAGAAGGAGTCGGGTTGGACACACCTTGGGAGGTCGGTGTTAAGGTCAAGGGGAGACCAGCAAAAACCGATGCCAGTGAGGAGGAATCGAGGTTGTTGGTAGAAGCGGCAGTAGAGGTGGCGGCAAAGGGGAGGCTAGTGAAAGGGGCAGAAGTAGAAGCAAATGTTTCACTGGAAGCAGGGGTGGCCCGAGGTGTAGATGCGGCCTGAGGTGCTGGGGTAGGGGTGGCAGAAGGACCTGGCAGTGGAACGTGGCCAGAAAAAACAGAAGGAACGGGAGCAGATGTGGTGCTGTGAACAGAAGTCACCGGTGCAGCCAGCAAGGAAAGGGTTCTGATAACTGTTGGATTGGGCGTCGTTGGCTGAGGTGCATGAACAGCTGAGACCTGACCCGGGAGCACAGGAAGGACGGTGTTCAGCAGGTTCATCCCAGGGAGGGCGGCAGTGGCCGATGCCGATGGATGATTTACTGCCTTGACCGGGGAAGCAGCAGGAACAGGAGTTGCTGCAGGTGTCGAAGGGTTAGAGCCACGAGGAGAAAAGAGCTGACTTGCTGGGGCAGAAAACGCTGTGGCGGGAGAAAGAGAGGCAAGATTTTACCATCACGCTGAAATGTCAACTTTTAACTCAAAAGAAATGAATGAAAATTTTTGTAATATTTAACAAATGTCAGAGAAAATCAATGACAGGTATACTAGGCTATTGCAATGTCTACATTGCTAGATTCCATCACCCTGATTTTCACCAGGGAGCCTCAGTTAGATCCAGCTGAGTTCTAGACTCTGCTCAGAATAGCCTTCCAATTCACAGTGAGGAAGCCTTGACAAGTGAGCAAATAAACTTTCCTTTCATAGTTTCCCATTTTTTCTTTAAAAAATTCAAAGAATTTACTTTAATTGTGATTAGCATTGGTGTACTTTTAATTCTCTCAAACCACTTGTCTAGAGTAATAATACAAGTCATTTCCCCTCTTAAGAGCTTTCAGGACATCATTTCATCATTTTTAGAGGCATACAAGGCCATCTAGGATTCAGGCCATCTCTCCAGTATGCCTGGTTGCCACTCTGTGAGTTGAATTTAATATTCCAGATGATCAATCTATCCAGTTTTTCCCCCAGGCATTCTCTCATATTGACTCCTCTACTTAACCTCTAACTTTACTTGGCTGGTCCTAGGAGCTCCTTTAGCAGCAAAGGCCTTGACTAATTCATCTTTAGAGTCTTCACGCCTAGCCCAGTGCATGGCATCTGTGTGTTTAATAAGTGTTTGCTGCACTAGATATATCATGATTACCTCAACTGCAAGTCCTCAAACCCACCCAAAGACTTATTCTCAAGACTTCTAGAGTTTGCTACAATACTTTCATTCTGACAAACTCTACAAATCATACAAGCATTTTGGGGATGATCTGGGTTTCCTCCCTGAATCAGTTTAATGAAAGCGTTGGCCTCTGATGATCTGGCTGGTGCCAAATGGAATGCTATACTGCTATACTCACATCGGAGTCTGTTCAGCTGTAAACAGAGAATATTCCTTTTGCAGGGATAATCAACCGAAAGACATTTTCATGGACTAAGACTTAAATTTTTAAATCTATGCAAAATAAAGACTCTGGACATAAGGAAGCTCACATGGTCAATGAAGTAGTGCACTGTGTTAATCGTGGGTGGAGAAGGGACCATAGGAAAAGAACAGAGGAAACCCACCTCTACATAATTCATTTGTACTAAGTGATGGCCAAAGGGTGCCACCTTGGGCTCAACAAATTTTACAGCTGTTTTAGAAAATAAATATGATAGGAGAATTGACAAATAGTAATATATAAATATATAAACGTCAAACTCAAAAGATCTGTAGTTCATACCACAGTCATGTCATAAGCAGTTAATTTAGTATCAAGGAAGATAGCTATCAATTTAAATTTAGAGTATATATGAAAATGGACTTGTATCTTTGTTTGTATTCAATTTGTTTTACAAGAATTAGAAGCACAAGGAATATATGCCCAGTTTTGTGTGTGTAAATAATGTATCAAAAAATTATTTAGGTTAACATTGGTTGGGAAACATTCGGTTGGGAAACATTTGAGAATTCACTGTCTTATTTAACTTCATGCTGAGGACCATGTAGTTAATGACAGATGGCAAGGTAAAACCAAGCTGTCCCACAGTGTTCTTTATAGTGGCCTCTGTTGGAGATCTTTTCATATAATAACACAAAAGCGATGTACTATTAATCACAGTGCCTGCAATTACAATGGAACACAACAAAAATGAATTCCTGAAAACCATACCAGGAGAAATATCACTTTCCTGTCATCTAATTTGGTTGTTAACCATAAAACACTACGTGTTAGGTCCTGTGCTAAGTACTTTACACCTGTCATTTCATTTGTCCTCACATAACCCCCGCCCCCCGAGATAGGCACTAACACCCCTATTTTATAGATGGGCAATCTCAGCCCTGATGTGATTAAGCAACCTGTTAAAAGATCACGCAGCTATTAAGTGGTGTTCAAAGGATATAAAGTTTCAGTTCTGCAAGATGAATAAGTTCTAGAGATCAGCTATACAACACTGTGCCTGCAGTTAACAATACTGTATTATGTGCATAACAATTTGTTAAGAGGGTAGATCTCATTAAGTGAGACCTTATCACAGTAATGATGATGATGATGATGATAAAAAGGTCATGCAGCTATGAAGTGGTAGAACCAAGATTTGAACCCAGGTCTATGAGACCCTCGCACTTAAGCATTATACTAGTTTGTATTTATTTTTGTTTCTTAATATGGTTCAAAAAGGAAAAAAGAAATCTTAATCATGCTAACGTAACAGCAAAGGAAAACAAATTGTGCTATTCCTAACAAAGGAATGACAAAGGAATAACTTATGACACTTAATCTGCTGCTTCTCCTCAGAAACAAATCTTTTTTTTTTCCCGGTACCCGGGCCTTTCACTGTTGTGGCCCCTCCCGTTGCGGAGCACAGGCTCCGGACGCGCAGGCTCAGTGGCCATGGCTCACGGGCCCAGCTGCTCCGTGGCATGTGGGATCTTCCCGGACTGGGGCAAGAACCCGCGTCCCCTGCATCGGCAGGCGGACTCTCAACCACTGTGCCACCAGGGAAGCCCAGAAACAAATCTTTTAATGAAGCTGATCGTAAAGGCTGAAGTTTCCTTAATCTCTTTTTCATAGAAACTACATAAGCTGCTCAAGGTTACAAAGCTGGGTGGTGCCAGAGCCAGGATCAAAAACTATATGTCCTGACATCTCAGTGTCCTTGCCACCCTGCTATGCTACCTCCTTAGAATCTACCAGCTAAAAAGCACTGTTTCGGCACATTCTTAGGGAATGGAATTCTCCCACCGAGACTCCTAACCACGCACCATAACGATCAGATTCATGTGCTACTTTGCTACACAAGAACTGGTGCAGGTTTTGTCTCACAGCAGAAAGCACCTCTTTCCTGACCACACGTATCTTCTACTAGGGGGAGAATAAACTGATACAGTGCTGCTGCCACCTGCAGGCACCAGGGGCCACGTCTCACCTTCCTCTTCCAACTCCACTTTCTGCTCTGGTGCCCTGTCTTCTTTTCTTAAATTAAATTCTTTCTTCTTTTCTTATATTAAATTACACTACCCCAAATACTTATTGAAATAATCAAGTCTAAAAGGTATATCTGACATAACATTTGTCAAAAAGGGTTTTTATCAAAAAGAAATTGTTCATATATTTAAAAAAATGAGGCTTCAAATATCACATAATATAAAGTGAATGCAGATATAATGCCACCTAGCACTTTGATTGCTTGGAAGTTTTACAAACAGGATGCAAAGGCATATGGTTATTTTTAAACCCAGTGAGGATGTGCATTTCATGTTGTGTGTATAAAATGTACTGCCATTAAGCCACTTTCAGCAAGTATCAATTAGTTAAATTTTTTGACCAGGAACTTTCCCTAAAGCATAAAGATTACAAATACACTCAACTCAAACTGATCTCAGTGAATAACAGAGCAGGCAGCCAGGACAGACATCAGTTATCTCTGGATCAAATTTGGTACTTACCTGGATTCTGTGTAGGTTTTGACTGATTGGAAAGGTCTTCATTCTCTATGTGAAAATAAATAAATAAATAAAAGTTGATTTCAAGCTTTAAACAAATTATTCACCATCATAATAATCAGAGACTGGGGTCAAAAAAAGAAAAATCCAGGATATGTATGTATACTGTGTTAGGAAAACAACATATGCCTATAGAAAAAGAAAGAAAATAAACAAAAATCATAGTAACTATATGAAGATTGCTAGGATGATGAGCAACTGATTCCCACCATTCCTCCTTAACTTAGCAGGCTTTAAGCAAACACTGTTACTTTACAGATACATTTACGAAAACTTTGGGGAAAGATGATGGCCTGAGTGTGCCATCTAGGAGAAAGTGCAGCAAGAGGGCAATGACGAGCCACTGTCACTGGCTAGGCCGACAGTCACTGCTGGGCACCAGTGCCTACAACAGGGAGGAGGCCTGCAAGTGGAAGGTGGATGCTGAGGGCAGAATCTACTGCCGTCGGAGGAGCCCGAATCACAAGCCATGTTGATCACAAAGCAAACTGAAGGAAAGTGGCTCTGCCTACCTGCTGTACTCAGTTCTGGAAAAGACCCTACGCTAGGAGGTGTCAGGGAGAACTACCCTAGTTGAGGCTGGCTTGAATCCTGTGAGACCGAAAACCTAAAGCACACTCCTCCCCACCCCCATGGGAAAGGACCTGTCTAACCAAACAGGTCAAAGATGCCAATGGAAAAAAATGACCTCGCATGGCTTGACAATAACTGCCCGAGAAACCAACAGTGTGACAGCCATAAGGTGCAAAGGGAACCCCCAAGCCCTGACATGGTGAGCAAAAATGATCACAGCTTGTTTAAGGGACTTAGTATAAATAAACGACTGAACAGATGGTGTCTATCAACGGAGAGTCCATGAAAGAAAGAAAAAGAACTTTAAAATCCTGTAATGCAGATTAAGAACATATATATACAAAATACTGCAAGAAAAACCTGCAAGCAGAGAAGATGAAGACTTTAGATATAAAAATCTAACTCCAAATTAATAAATGCAAAGAATGATGAAGATTAGAAATAACATTGCTGAAAGCTAAATTACTTAGTTGAAAATAAACAAAAATTCCATTTAAAATGGCAAAAATACAAAAAAAAAGTATCATAAATGAATAGCTGAGAGACTTAAAATAAATACAGTGCAAAAGAAGAGTATTAGGAGAAAAAAAGAACAGATGAAAAAGCATTAATTAAAGAAATATAAGAACAAAATTTTCCTAAGCTTTAAAGACTTGAGTTTTCATATCCACAGGGCTTAAAAAGTTCCAGGAAAGATCAACGATAAGATCCACACCTAGATATCCTGGCAAAATATCTGAACACCAAGATTAAAGACATTTATGAACTCTGAAGATAAGGAATATTTTCTTTGTAAGCTTATAGAAAGAGACTACAGTTCTAATAAAGAAAAGAAAACGGGAATTGGGTTTCTCATCTACAACCCTACACATGCACCCTTTTTGAAAAAGCTACTTAGAGAAATTTTCTACTAGATGAAAATTAGAATGAGTATATGAGGACAGGGCATCATAGAAGAAACAGTTAAGCCATGAGTTCAGAGGCACAGAAAGAAAAATGTATAGTAGTCCATCAAAATACACAAATTGATGAAAAAAGAGAGGGAGTAAGGAAGCCAATCGTGGAACGTAGGACAGCTGTTTTTAATTGCTGTACACTGACAACCATTAAGAATATGAAGGCAGTCACTAGTGATATTAAAGACAGAAATTCTAAGCTTGGGTAGGGGCAAGGAAACAAAAGTTGTTAAAAAATTAAAAAGCAATTTAATCCAAGTAAACAAAAAAAAAGAAAATTAAAAACTAGGATAAAAGAATAATAATGAGTACAAAAATAAAATGGAAGGACTAAGAACAAATATGTAATTTTTATGATTATCAGAAATTCCTATTAAGTCTCTTCCCCACTGGTTTAAAAACTCAGATTCCAGCTATATATAATTTACAAAACAACTAAACAAACAAAGCCAAATGAACAATACTCTAAAAAAAAGAAATTTGAAAATATACAGGCAAAACACTTTTGAAAAATGAAAACGAAAAGGAGTGAGGACCCAATAAGGGTCAATACCCAATAAGGCCAGAGGGAAAGAAGTTATAGTAAAGTGTAAGTCAGCTGACATTTTATATCCAGAAAATTCAAGAGACTTTCAAGAAAAAAAAAGTATAATAGGGAATCAGTAGTAAGTACCTAGAAATAAAATATCCATTTATAACTGTAACAAAAACAAACAAACAAAAACAAACCCTCTAAAATCCTGAGACACAAACCTAAGGCAAAGAACCTGTATGAAGAAAACAAAATCTTCTTGAAAGAAGCAGAAATTAACACAACATTGTAAATCAACTATAACTCAATTAAAAAACAAAAAAAACTTTTTACAAGGCCTGGAGGAAAAACACTACCATTTGACAGGATTTAAAGCCATACATATGATTGAATGGTAAAACTTAATATCGTAAAAATGTCAAGTATCCCCAGATTACTATGTAACTATAAATTCAACTCTTTTTTTTTTTTTTTTTTGCGGTACGCGGGCCTTTCACTGTTGTGGCCTCTCCCGTTGTGGAGCACAGGCTCCGGATGCGCAGGCTCAGCGGCCATGGCTCACGGGCCCAGCCGCTCCGCGTCATATGGGATCTTCTCAGACCGGCGCACGAACCTGCGTCCCCTGCATCGGCAGGTGGACTCCCAACCACTGCGCCACCAGGGAAGCCCTCAACTCTTTTTAACTGCATAAAATGACCTTAAAGTTCAGATGGAAGAACCAATTTCCAAAAATGGATAAGAAAAGTATGAAAATATAGTGAGAGAAAGCTAGCCTTATCAGATGTTAGAATATACTATAAATCTGCTAATCTAATCAATATGGTATCATCACAACATAAAGTCACTAGATTGGAACAGAATAAAGAACCCAAATAGGGCTTCCCTGGTGGCGCAGTGGTTGAGAGTCCGCCTGCCGATGCAGGGGACACGGGTTCGTGTCCCGGTCCGAGAGGATCCCACATGCCGCGGAGCGGCTGGGCCCGTGAGCCATGGCCGCTGAGCCTGCGCATCCGGAGCCTGTGCTCTGCAACGGGAGAGGCCACAGCAGTGAGAAGCCCACGTACTGCAAAAAAAAAAAAAAACAACCCAGAACAGAGCCATGTGTGTAAATGAAAACTTAAGATAAATGTATTATTTCAAATCACCAGGGAGAACAGATTAGTTAATAAAGACTGCTGGCATGAATGGACTGACTACCATCTGCAAAAAAAATTAAGATGAACCTCTATTTCACCCCTATGTGAAAATAAATTCTAGAGGGAGTAGGAATCTTACAAGGCCTAAATTATCTGGACTACCTAGGGTTACGAATTTCTAAACTAAGGTAACTTGGTTCCAGCTTTTCTTTCACAGCCTCTATCTGTCTATGCAAAAATGTAAAACTCTAAGGGCAAGAGGTACCATAAACAAGGGCAAGAAATAAAATGACAAATTTTGGAAAAAATGTTTTGCAACTTTAGTCAGAGTACTCAGCTGCAAACAACGGAGCCACTCTGGCTAGAAAAAAAGAATTTATTAAACACTAGAAAGTAACTTTGAGTCTCTGGGAAGGGCAGAATTAAATTAACACAGAACTTACTTTAAGTTCTATCCCTACCCTACACATATACAGAAATAAATGGCAAGTGAATGAAAAGCTCTACGTTTAAAAAGAATCACTACAGTAATTAGAGAATGTAGATGTCACAATGTTGAAATGGGAAAGGGTTTCCTAAACAAGACATAAAATTCAGGAGAGTCAAATAAACAATAACTGATCGAAATAAAAATTAAACTTTTGTAAAAGACAGACAAAAGGAGAAAGCAGCTAAATCAGCCTTATCAGATTGGCAAGAGTAAAAAAGAAAAAAAAAAGCCCCAAATTGATAATATCCCATTTTGCAAGGGGGTGAAGAAACCCTACGCTCACATACCTTCACTGGTAGGTATAAACAGGTGCAGTCTTTTTGGAAAACAATTTGACAAGATAGAGAAAAATATTTACACTTCGTATCCCGTATTCCCAATGGGCCCAAAGAAAAAGGCTGAACTGGAATATGCTGGGGAGGTCCAGCCCTTCTGAGCACCTTCTTACAAGCCTTTCCTTCCCACGGCAGACAGAATGTGCCCAAATGGCGACACGCATTAAGTCGGTGATGCTTTTCCACAGCCTGTCAGTTTCCTGCTCATGAAGAATGGTTCTTGTTTCTACAACCTGCTCGTGTTCACACATGTGGGCCGAGGCTGCTTTAGTGCAACCTGTATGTTGCACTCAGATCCATCATCATGTTCCGGGGCTGTGCTCCCTGTTAGGATACCACCGCATCCCACAACTGCCCCCTCCAAGTGTACCATGTACAAGTTATTGACTGTTAATACCCCATAACGACATGATTTTACCTGCTGCTACTGGATTAGGAGTATATGGAGGTGGCGGGGGCACACCTGGAGCTATGACATTGGCTAATGGTACCAGACCTGCATTGTTATAAGCACCTAAAATAAAAAGATAATAGAAAATAATATATAAAATTTAGCATCATTCTGAGTTCAAACTGTATTGACGCAGCTATCTAATTTATTTCTAAAACCGTTATATAGTACAGTTGCATTTTACACAGAGATTTGGGTCTATGGTTGAGTGAAAAGTGAGATCAAATGAGACAACCAGAGACTTCTATTTCCCACTGCAGGCTCACTCCAGACATAACTCACTGCAGGGCATGGTGGGCAGAACCGGCCAGATTTAAATTATCTGCCTTTTCTGTCAAGTAGACACACTCGGCCTTTTTAAGTTAAATGCATTAATGATGCCTCTGAATACCAACTATCAAAAAGGGATTCAAGATGATTTACCCATAATCAAAAACCCATAAAAATAATTAATGATGAGAAGTAATATACAATTAATTTATCAAAAGGAAAATATCCTAAATAAACTCTGTCTTCTCCATTGTTGCAGACCAAGACACACGGCAAAATAAAGCTCATGACAGCATATTTCATAAGTGCTCCAGATTTCCAAAGTACATATATCAACATTTACTTTCAACTTAATAAAGAGCAAAAAGAATAAAAAAGTAAAGTCTGAAAGAGCGCCTTACTTGGTGCAATAGTTGCATGTGGCCGGCATGGAGGTATCGGATAAGGAACGGGTTTATGTGGATTGTATGTTGAAGGAGGCTAAATGAGGGGGAAAATACAGCAGTTAGGAGAAAATCAAGTAAGCTGTCTCCTGGCAAAACAAACTACAACTTGTCTTTCAAAACATTTAGGCCTAAGAGGCCAAAAATGCCCCAGCATATCAAATGCCACTGCACTAATACATGGTACAAATGAGGAAAATGGCTTTAATAAATGTGGTTCCTATTAAATTCCAAAGATAGATCCTGCCAAAGACTGCTGTGGAGGTGTTTATTTTTTAATTTCAGTTGTAAATCATCTCCAGCGAAGGGCCAAACCTTATCCTAGACAGCAGATTCTTCTCTGACCCAGTCTATATTAATCCAAGAATTCCTATCTCCTCCTATGGAACAGCTACTCAAGAACTTCCAACATCCTCCTGAGAATTCATCTTATCATTCTTACCCTCTTTTCTCCTTTTGGAAGAAAAAAGCACTATTTCCTTTAGCATCTGGCGTTCTGACAACTCTAGTAGAACGTAGACTGGAATTATGAATTCAGTAACTTAGTCTTTTTGCCTTTTGAAATCCACAAATCTTTCATTTTAGAGTTGATAGAACTTATGTAAGTAACAAGGAACATTCAAAGGGTTGATCTCCAGAGAACCGGAGGTATCCAAAGATAGGCCACATGCTGTACTTTTAACTACAGAGAGAGAGAGAGAGAAAGACAGAGACAGAGAGAGAGGATGCTAGAGCACGCACACCCACTCGAGGCGGCTGGCACTCACGCTCCTGCAGCAGAGGGGATCCACTGGTGGTTAGGGACCCAGACTCTCTCTAGTGCTCATAACGGCAGCCCTGGATGAGGTACTAGTCCTGCACGAGGGCTATGATCTGTGACTACCTTGCTATAAACAACTGCCACTGGAGTTCTTGGCAGGTGGGGAGGCGGGACTGCAGAGTGGCTGTGTGGAGGCCTCCAGTACGTCAACTCCAACAATCCTTCAACCCACGGGCTTCTCTTCTCCTGTTCAGTTCATATTCCAATCAATCATTCTAACCACTCCCTTGAAAATACTCTCCGCCTCCTAGCTCCATTCTTACTTCACTAACACTAATGCTAATTCAGCCACCAAACCACAACCTTCGTTAAAGTGAACTCTCCGCACTCCACATCTCCAAGCAAACAGCTGAATGTGGCTGTAGCAAAAAGTAAGAACAGTTCATCTGGTCTACCTTTAAAATAAGCTATTAAACCTCAATAGGGCCCTTAACACTGTTAAAGAAGTTTACTATATTTCCCTAGGCCATTCCCTTTCCTAGAGTTTCTAGTATACTTTAAGCTTCACAACACAAAAATGAAACTTATGCCTTGAATAGACAGAAAACTAAATGTAAGAGTTAAGACTTGTTCCATCATTTATTTTCTAAACATACTGGTTTGGACGGTCCGAGAATCCGTGCAGCTATTCCTTTGCCTTCGTTGGTACACTCTTCACCATCTTTCTTCAAAGGGGTTCCCTATTAAAAAAAAGAAAAAGGAAAGATAATTGAGACTTAAAAAAACCCAAACAGGGCTTCCCTGGTGGCGCAGTGGTTGAGAATCTGCCTGCTAATGCAGGGGACACGGGTTCGAGCCCTGGTCTGGGAGGATCCCACATGCCGCGGAGCAACTAGGCCCGTGAGCCACAACTACTGAGCCTGCGCGTCTGGAGCCTGTGCTCCGCAACAAGAGAGGCCGCGATAGTGAGAGGCCCGCGCACCGCGATGAAGAGTGGCCCCCGCTTGCCACAACTAGAGAAAGCCCTCGCACAGAAACGAAGACCCAACAGAGCAAAAATAAATAAATAAAATAATAATTACATCTGCAAACATCCTTTAAAAAAAAAAAGAATAAAGTGTGTATTAAAAAAAAAAAAAACAAAAAAAAACCCAAACAAACCCAAAAGCAAAAACAGAACAAAACAAGACATCCACTGTATTACACAGAAAAGGATGTAACTTGGCAGGAGATTAAGGACTTGGATTGCAAACCCAATCCTGCCCCGGCTGCCTGATGCTGACAAAGTCCTCGACCCTCCTCTGCCACAGAACCCTCATAACATGTACAGAGGTAGAAGGAAACACACAATGCACATGGAGATGACAGAAGAGGATAAAGTATGTTCTAATTTTTTGGGGCTTCCCTGGTGGTGCAGTGGTTAAGAATCTGCCTGCCAATGCAGTGGACACGGGTTGGAGCCCTGGTCTGGGAAGATTCCACGTACTGCAGAGCAACTAAGCCCATGAGCCACAATTACTGAGCCTGCGCTCTAGAGCCCACGAGCCACAACTACTGAAGCCCGCGCACCTAGAGCCCGTGCTCCGCAGCAAAGAGAAGCCACCACAATGAGACGCCTGTGCACCGCAATGAAGGGTAGCCCCCGCTCGCCACAACTAGAGAAAGCCCGCGTGCAGCAATGAAGACCCAACACAGCCAAAGATAAAAATAAATAAAATAATTTTATTAAAAAGAAAAAAAAGTACGTTCTAATTTTTTCTCTGTGCAACAGGAACAACCAGAGACAGACCTCCAGTGTTACAGTGTGTAACGCTCAAAGAATCAAAAAGAGTTCTTGTATTACAGTTGAAAATAAGTAATAAAAAATGGTGTTTTCTATAAGCAGTAAGTGTGATAGCTTATACTGACTCATTCAAGTCTGCTGTAATTAACAGATCAAAATAAGTTGACACCCTATTACAACGTGTCCCCCCGATAGCATGTATTTTAAATGGTACATACTAGTATGGAAGCCAGCTTCCAAGGTGGCCCCCAGCAACCCTCAGCTCCTAATGCCCTTGTGCAGCCCTCCAGTCCTTTTATACAGAACTGACCTGTATAAAAAATAGGATATTCCAGAAATGATGGCCGTTGACTCCCAAGTCTGAGTGATAAGAGAAAACACAGCTTCCGCTGGCCTTCTCCAGGACAATCTGCTCTGGTGGAAGTCGGCTGCCATGTCAGGAGGTACTCAAGCAGCACTAAGGAAAAGTCCTTATGGCAAGGAACAAAGACCCCCTGCCAACAACAACACTAATTTGCCAGGCATGTGAGTGAGCCACCTCGGAAGCTAGGCTTGTGTTTCAATCAAGCCATCAGATGACTACAGCCTCATGAGAAACCCTGAGCCAGAACCAAGCTAAGCCTTTCCTAGATTCCTGATACATAGAAACTGCATGAGATACTAAATGTTTACTGTTTCAGTCCACTAAGTTCTAAGGTTATTTGTCACACTGCAATAAAAATATACCATTCTATGAAAAAATTATTTCACAAAGAATTCTGAGGAACACTGGGTGATACAAAAACAAGTGTATTTCTTACAGGACTTCTCAGAGCCTTTATTATGCAACATGATTCTCCAGGAAGGAGACGCTGCATTCAGAGTTTCCCAAACACACTTAACTGTGAAACTGTCTGCAGAATACCGAGAATTTGAGAAATACTCCTTTACTACATGTAAATCAGTGCTTCTAAAATACTTGGAAAAATAAAACCAAATCATCCTCTTTTCCATTTGGCTTGTTCTTCTCTACATTTTACGCAAATAGTTTAATACAGCTTATGTATGAACTTTCATTCAGTAGTGAATCTATGAATTACGTTGCTGACATAGCAAAATCCCTTTCCTTTGTAGACACACCATCAACTGGCATTTTCTTTAAATATCATTAACTATGCTCAATTTCATATGAAGAGGTTTTGTATATAGCCACAAAAGTATACTTACTGGGAAAATTCCATTTATGCGACTAGGTTTTCCTTTGGGATATGGATTTCCTGGGATTGTTCCACAAGAAGATATCATAGCATGAGGAGCTTTGCAGCCCGCCTTGAAAGCCTGTAAAATAACAAAGAAGAGGGTGGTTAAAAAAAAAAAAAAAAAAAATCAAATAAACTCACAAATTAAGTATTCTGGATGTTGGGAAGCCCTGCTAAATAACATGAATTAAGGAACAGCATCACATTCAATCTGTTCATACATCAATCAGCACTTCCACTGGTGAACATGACCAAAATTAATAAGTAAAATCACTTCATTTAATGGAATTATTTAAATAGTATTAATGTTTTTAATGTCACAGATAAGACTCCTATACAAAGATATCTTCACAATGGATTTTGTAAATTGTGTGCAAAGAAGTCCATTTACTATTTGATATGTCTCACTTCTCCAACGACCAAGAAATAACACTGTCCAACTCAATAAACACCAAGCTCACATTACAGGTAAGGCAAAGAGAGCACAGCCATGAGAGAGACATGCTCCACTCTGAAGAAGTTTACATAACTTAGTGGATAAAACACAAACAACAACATGGGACACTGGGTGTCCAAAGAGCTATACTGATGAAAAAGTAAGAGTTCTCTGGGTACCAGTGTTCAACATAATGTTACATAATTATGAGATATACTGAAGGATGAGATCTTGGTCTAGCTTATTTATTATTGTGTCCCCAGCTTCTGAAATGGTGCCTAACACATACTGAATTAGTGCTCAATAAATATTTATTAAAGGAATGAAAAGCACTGTAATAGGTGACATATATTCTAATGGATCTATACTGTATAAGAATATCAAGTTAAATATATATATGCTGTATTTTATAGGTATATATGATATTATTAGCTATATAATCTAGCCCCGTACTAAACATGCCAACCCTAAAAATCATCTCAATTTTTGGCTATTATAAATAGTACCAGGGTGAGTGCCCTTATATATGAATGTGTATGTTTCTATTTATTTCCTTAGTATAAATTCCTAGAAGTAGAATTTTTGGGTCAAAAGGTACGAACATTTTAAAGGCTCTGCAAGTTTGCCTTTCAGAAAAGTTGTACTAATTTACATTGATTAAAGGACCTATTCCACAGAAGACTCAGGCCCAGATTATTTCTGAGATGGGAAAGTCACATGATCAGAATGCTTCATAAGGAAGAAAACTACAGTAGTAAATGCTTAATGCCTTAAAGAATTTAGTCAAAAAACTCGATGAAGTTATTAAAGTAAAGAAACGTGGGCTCAGATCTTGCTTTTGCTACAATAACTTATGACTAAGGCAAGTTCTCCACTCTCCTGCGCTTCGTGGAGGGCGTGAGGATTAAATATGATTGAGCTGCAGCTCCTAGGGGAGCAGTCCATGCCTTCCTCAAGCAGGTTTCTAATCACTAATTCAGTTTCCAACCATCACAATCCTAAGAAATAACTACCTTAAATGACGAATCAAGTTTTCTAGGCTTGGACAAGTACTACTTCCCCCACTCTTACAGATTTTAAATTAAAAAACTGCAGTCTTGCTTTGTTACTCATCTTTTATGAATTTGATGAAAATAAGCCCAATGACAAAGCAAATTTAAACAGTCAAGTTCCTAAATACATAAAATGAAAGACAAAAGCTTGGAGCCATGGCAGAGCTACCAAGGGACCGAGAATAAACACCCCATGAGGCTCACGCTGAGGGCTGGCTTCTCACTCTCAAGCCGTCTCTTCATTCACCAGTGTCCCCCCCACCCCGGCCCCAAAGACTGCTGGGGTGTCATTCTTAACCCATCACATAACAGCACTCAGGTTATTCAACAAAGTTAACATAGGAATAAGACTGTACTGTTTTCTTCATCAGCATTCAGAAAAACCAACATACCATTTATAGAGCAATCTTGAGGAAATTACCTGTTCAAGCACCCTCTTGCACCGTTTCTTCTCAGACATATTTATCCTGAACAGATCTTCAATGGGACGAGAATTCTGTGCATCAACAATGTTTCTACCAAGCAAATACAATTTAGCTTTTCATTTAAGAAGCTGGACACACATATTTAATACATAGATATATCTGAGTAAGCTTTTCCCCATGACATAATGAGGGAAGTATGATTATTTAGTTTTAATTGGTGAATGTAAATAACATGTTTATATGAAGATGGTAAATATAATAACTGAACTGACATTTATCTGGCTACCTGAAAGTAACAAAGTAATACTTCAAATAAAAATCACTGTTTTGAGATTCTTGCAAATATACCCTCTCAATGAGTGTCAGGAGAGCTACTGGCAACAGAACAAACCCACGTGCTAAATGCCTAAAAATCATGGTTGATCTAAAAATGAAGTTTAACCTTATGCTTCATTTTAATTTTGTGCTTTTTGTGGTCATTTACAAATATATAAGGGACTTAAAAATGCATATGCTGTAAATAAACAGCAACTTCTAGACTCTTACATTATAGGAGAGTAGGTTCCTTTTCTCTTACATTCATCACAATCCTTTCTCAAACGTCGTGCTGGGTGCTTTCACACATCTTACAGTGTGTAAAGTTCACATCCCTACTAAGTAGATGAGATCCTTATTCTCACAAATGAGGAAAATAAGATCCAGAAAGAGTAAGTATATATTAAGTCAAAAAAATACACGTTGTCAGAACGTGGAAGAACCCATCCAACTATAAGTCCTCTGGCTTTGTCACCAAGCCTTTCACGTTATTCAGAGTGGGAATGCAAAGCAAGTCACCGAAATGCAGACAAACTGAAATAATTAAACTCGATAAGCCCCACTATAAGTTATAACCATGTGTAATAAGCACACTAGATACTTAGATATAAGAATTCAGCTCTATGCTTGCATAGTTTTATTAGAGTTCCATTTACTAACATAATTCTGATACATTAACATACACTAATGAGTTAAAAAGCGTTTAAAAAGTCTTCCAAATTTTTCTCCAATGAAGTAAAAAGAAAGAAATACTTACGAAGCTAGCAGTTCAAGAGCAACTAGTTTGTCTTTACTGAAGGTGAAACAGTTGAGTATATTGACCACTTCTGCTGGGTGAACAGCCACCATTTTCTATTAATACAAAAAATAATGAGAAATTTTTTCAACATGAGAAATTTTCATGCAAGAAACTGCCTTTTGGGGGGAGTGTAATTAAATGTTCTTAATATAAATATTTGAGATGAAAACTGCTTAATCAAAAGTAAGTCCTAACAACTGTGTGAATTAAAATTAGGCTTTTCAACATAACTACTTTAATTGAAGAGCTAAGTTCTCCTATGTGCTCCTTCTTATCCACATTTCTCAATATGTTCATCTATGGAAAAAAAAATTTAGATGTTCTACTTTCCTCAGAAAGGCTATATAAAAAGGGATATTTACAAATATGAGAGACACGCTGCTCGAGAAGTTAGAAAAAAATTATATTCCTCAGTTAGAGTGCTAGGTACACCACAATCAGAACTTCCTAGTGAAGTCCATGGCACTGAATAGTGTTATTAAAGAAAGGTACTCCAATCACATCATTAGAGGAAAGATTGGTTAAACAGGTTTCTTTACTGAACTTTCTTAAGAGCCTTGTTAACGTGCACTGTGACAATCCAAGATTGTGTGGACTGTTACATAATTTATTTGCCTAGGATACCTATATCTTTGAAAAACAGGTCAATTTATAAATGTATGTTAACAGTGCAGGAAATTCAAAAGCAAAGTCAGGATAAGGAGACCAGTTAGAATTAACTGATCAACAAAAGTGGTTTTCAAACACTTTAACTCCTGTACCACCAAAAGAACTGGTAAAACCATATACCCCATTGCGTGTTTTTAAATTGACATCTAAAAATTTTACCGGAAGTTTTACGTACCTGCAAAAGATAGATTTCCTTATATGTAAGTTTATTACATATTTCTGAAAACCTTGGAACTACTGATCTAGTTCATTTACTTTATGAAAATGTCCATAACAGAACCTGTCAGTCAGTCTTCGGTAGGAAAACAGTCAAATCAGACTTACTCTGTCTATAAGTGCACTATGGTGTGCCTGTGCAGCCTTCTCACCTCTGATTTTTAATTCTAAGGTAGGTGGATAGGCAAGCCAGCCTAAGAGCTTTGTCATGAGTTTGCTGTCCTGATAAAATAAGGCAAGGTCCCCATCAGTATTTCTTACGGAAGCTCTGTTTTGCTCTCCCTCTCAGGATACTGCATTGTCACTTTGGTCCTTAGAGAAAGATTTTCACCCCTAGCTGATGGGTGAGACAACCTTTTTTTTTTTGGTAAAGCAGAAAAAAAGCTATTGTTAAAGAGAAGAAGCACTAACAGACCCAGCACTTTCTTAGGCAAATTAGTTTAGGAAGCTAAGGATTGTAGATTTCCTTAGAGCGATCAATGCCTGATACTCCCAGGAAAATCTTCCTATACAGCCAGGTCCTGTTTGACTTTGATGCCTCTGTTAATCTAGGCTCTAGAGCTGTGCTATCCATATAATAAGTCGCCACTAGACACGTGTGCCTGTTTAAATTGAAATAAAATAATACCTTAAAAATACCTTTCCTCAGACAGATGACATGTTTTAAGTGCACAAAAGCCACAGGTAGCCAGTGGTTACCATAGTGGATAGAGCTGATATAAAACATTTCCATCATCGCTGAAAGTTAATTTGGACAGTGTTGGTCTAAAAAATGTAAGTATAAACCAGTCTGACTATTCTTCTAAGACTAAATACAAGAGGGTGAAGATATACAAAAATAAAAGTAAATAAAAATACTTAAGAATTCAAGCCCTGTTTTGCTTGCTTATAAATATTTTCTACTCCAATCTGCCAATTAGGACCCTGTACAATTTAATAGTACAGTACATACGATTTAAATTTACAAGTTTTAATTTTTTAACATAGTTATTTTGAATAATCAAAGTATAATGAAATTTAGCGTATCTAATGGAAACAAATCACAACTTGAGATGAATTAGAGAAAACTAGGGGAGAATTCAAAATAGTTAAATTTTACATTCTAAGGAAAAATACTTACATGCTGTAATGCTTTCATTGCCTTCAACTGAGGCTCAGCCCAGGAGAAATATCTCAGTAAATCAACCACCTGAAAGCAAAGAACTAATTTAGCTCTAATGACAATGTGTTTGCAAACATTTCTCCAAGATGTATTTCAGTACTTTGAATTACTATTCAAAGTGTGCCGCCTAGGCCCCAGGGATGAGGCATAAGCATGACACCAGAGTTCAGACCGGGCTGATGGAGTAGCCAAGTGCAGCTACTGAAATTTAAACCAACTGAAATCAAACCAAATCAAAAACTCAGTTCCTTACTGGCACAAGCCATATTTTAAGCGCTCACCAGCCATATGAAGCTGGTAGCTACCATGATGGTTACTGCAGAGAGAGAGAGCATTTCCACCATCACAGAAAGTCTTGGACAGCATTGGTCTAGAATAAAGGAAAGTATAAGGTACAGGAAGAAGAAAGTACCTGAAAAAAAGGAAAGCTGGAAAAGTACTAGATGGAGATAAAAACATCGCGTAGGAATATAAAGATATAGTACGAATGGAAAGTTTCAAAACATTTAGTGGAGAATAACAGTTTTAATCAATCACAAAAGGGTGTTCAGTGGTGTGGTTTAGTGTAGGTTCACTAACTTCTACTCTTTAACTCACATCTGGAGGGCATACTACTCTTACTTAGACCACAGATCTATTCCCTAAAAATGTAAGAATCACCCTGAATCACGCCAGCAGCTTCTAAATGGTAAGTCATTTTGAGAGCACAGCCAGCCAGGCTCTCTCCCACTACCACCAGCGAAGTTCAAGTGAATGAGGGAGATACTGTGCAACAGCCAGGAAGAGGTGAGCAGACACCACGATCACAACACTGAAGTCTCTGCGTGGTCACCACCACCTGGGTTCACTGCCTCTAAGGACACCCCAAAAGGGGAAAAAAAGACTCAAGACGAGAGGGTAATAAAATCTGGGTTAATGAATTATTTTACTGTGAGCTCCTAAAAATGTGTTAAGGCTTCAATTATTCCACAAAGCGAGGTTAATGTTAGGAACTGGTGTGGTCTGTGAAGAAGAGTAAAAACACTTTTCACTCCTTAATGAGAGATACATAAATAGCAAACAAGTATTGTGGGTACTTTCTACACAATTTTCTAAGAGTGTATGCCCTTACTTTTATGAGAATAATGTTTTTACTATATAGAGTGAATGCTACCTGGGACTTTACCAACCATAAAACTTTATAACTTATCATGTATGATTATTATATTATAATATAATAATCATTATAATAAGCTTAGAAGGTCACACTTAGAAAGTAGCTTGATAAAATTTTTAATAATTTTAGCAAAGTCATTAAATTTTTAGCAAAGTCATTAAATTTCCACAGTAGGAAGTTATCTACAAAATTTCACATATATACACAGAAACACAAGAGAAGGAAAGAAAAGCTATCAGCTATGTGAAATTATAAATCTTTCTCTGAAACATTTAAATTTTTAAAAAAGCATAAGGCAATTTTGAAAAGTAATGGGATAGCTGCAAAACCCTCATTGAATAGGCAGCAACACGTGCCAGTCACAAAGCAGCTTTGAGGACTTCAGCAGGCAGAACTACAGGCTTAAAGTTATTCAAGTTTTGAAAGTCTTGAGAAACAGATGAAAAGTTGGAGCATTTACTAACTCAATCTATAGATTCATCCACTGTCTACCCTACTCACGTTCCCAACCTTTTCTGTTCTTCAGATGTACATTTCCATTTCTGGTCTATTTCTCTATCAAGTATTTTCCAAGTATCTCTTGGAAATCCAGCTTTCTCTGCATGTGTGTGTGTGTATATATGTGCAAACCTGTTTGTCAATATCAGCAAACTCCCCCTAAAGTTGGGTGAAAGTCCCCACTAAACTACCACACTGAAAGTATCAGTCTTCTGGCAATTACAGAAACTACTTATTAGACACTATTTTTTTTCTTATTTGCTAAAATTTTTACATAGTGGCTTCATGTAAGAACATACATCACCATTTGTTCAAGTTTTATAAAATGTAGAGAATTTTGCAATTACTGACTCATAAATACTGTACAATTTTGGGTATGTTTACCATTAGAAGTTTACAACATATGATACTGTGCCCAGAATATAAACACTTTGAACTGCTTTCTTCAGACACTGCATTTTAAAATCATGTTAGCATATGATATCGTGGTGAAAGTGGGTATGCTTATAAACTATCCCAACTATAAATCATGTAAAGTTTTCTGCTAAAACTGAAAGCTTCTAAAGTTCCTGAATAAACACAGCAACAAAGTAAAAGCAATTCTGAACTTGACCAGCAGGTAAATAAAGACACTAATCAGAACATCAGTGTGAAAAAAAAAAGAACAAAAAAAATGCTGTTGCTTAAACAAATAAAGGAATACCTGTTCACTGGAGAAATATCCGTGCACATATTCAATTGCTTTTAATTTGTACTCTGTCAAAACAGCCTAAAAAACATAGAAAAACAGAATGAATATATGTAATCATATGCATATATCAAAACTGCCTAAGCAACTCAAACAGCCCTGGCACAAGGAGGCCGATAAAGTCACCGTGGTGATGTGACATTCTACCTTCCCAAGTTCCATGCTGTAAGGGATACACTGAGACAGCCGGAAAAGCCCCTGGGCCTCCCTACTCACTCCTACAAAGGAAGGGAACAGAATTGTGAGAGATATGATTCGACATTAACAGAAATTAAGTGTTCCTGGAAAAGTAACTGCAGTTTTAAAGCATCCAAAATCCAACAAGCCGTCATTTTTAAGGTTAAACGTACTACCCATCACTCATTCATCAGATAATTATTTATTGCACACCTATATGTGCTAAGTGATAGAGAAACATGGATAAGACATGGTCTAGTCCAGGCTCTCAGTATTTCTACAAGGGATGTGAACCCAGGAGCCAATCTGTGCGCCTGACGCTAACTGGCAGTGCGGCCTCAGAAAGGCATTTTAATTGCCCTGAGAGCCTCCTCACCAATCACTACCCACCTCAGTTACTGTGAGGATTAAAACAGTCTGAGAGTAGATGTGACACATAATAGGGAAGTTCAGAGAGAAGTCGATGGCCTTGACCCAGCACTATCTAGCGCCGAACGAAATCATGTATTATCTCCTTGCAACTATATGCTAAGCTTGCAGATGGAAACACCAGACTATCAAAATTTGGTAACAACTACTCATTAAAAATCCACTAATCCCCTTTGTATGGTGACAGATGGTAACTAGACATATTGTAGTGGTCATTTTCTAGTATACAGATAAACACGGACAGTGTTGTAGGTCAGTTACACTCCAGAAAAAGAAAAATCAACTAATCCCTTTGCATTCACTACAAAACAATCGTATTTGTACTTTTCACATGCATCATTCTGCTAAGAGAAAATACTACGACCAGTCAACAGAGAAACACATCCAGGGAGCTCAGTAGCTGAATTTTCACTGAAAAAGGGGAGGGAATGGTATTCTGGATAATGTACTCTTGGGAGTTCGAGTATTATTGCCATTATTGGACACAATCAAAAGCAAGTTTCTGGCCCAAATCCTGGATTGTGTTGATGCCAAGTCATGTCTTAATTTTTTGATCAGCACCTGAGAGGCCCAGCTGTATCCCCAGGCACAACACCATGGCACTCAGGAGTCAGACTACCCAACTTTGAACAGTGCTCTCCTCCCTCACCAGGTGGGTAACTTTGAGCTGGCTGGTTAACCTCACAGATACTAGATCTGACCTCGGTAAAATGAGGGTTGTTAGGAGGATCTAATCAAATAACGCATGGAGAAAGTGCTTAGAATAGACACACTCAGTTAAGTGCTCAGTAATAAATGACTATTATTGTTATTACCCCCTTCTTAAAAAGCAAATTAAATATTGCTTTTTCCCCTCCTTTCTTCTCCCCTCCTATTTCTTTTTCTAGTGTCTTCTTACATGTCTTTGTTTTAAATGACAGTTGTGACAGCCAGTATTACCTACAGACGTAACGGTGACATTCAGAAAGATACTACCTGGTTTAAACCGACTTACATTTACAAAGTCTGAGAGCAATTTTTAAAAAGCCAACAGTAATTCACACACTTAGATATGCTTATATATTCATCCCATTTTAATAGCCTAATACTATGTTGATGTATCTAGACATTTGGCATAGACAGCAAAAGATATTTTGATTTCAGAGCAGAAATGAGGACTTAAGTTGCTATGTATTTGATTTTAATCTCTGGAAAATTTCCTATTCCCCTCATTATTAATTACTATGTCATCTTCCCAGAGTTTAGAAGGGAGAGAATATGCAAACCAACACTCTATAGCTTCCAAAGGTAGAAATCAACTGGTCTACCCGAACAAATTATTTTCTCATAAACCGTAGTTTAACATCAGCTCATGAACAAATTGTGGTAAATTCTAAGCATATAATTATCAAGCTAATGTTTTATTGCAAATTTTCATTGGACAAATTGGGTTTGCAAAAGCAGAAATTCAAAAAAAGAACACTCAATATCCTTACAAATGTAAATTTAACCTAACACTCAAATTTGACGAAGAAAAAAGCTTTAAAAAGGATGAAAGAAAACATTTTGCTTTACAGAGAATGAAGAAAAACAGCATGTCCACAAGCAATTTTAATAACTTCGTAAGCTGAAATAAATAATAATCACCAGAGCACACGGTAACAAGTCTTTTCGCGTCAACAAGGGTCTTAAAGATATGAAAATGGCGAGATAATTGCCCGGAAATTCTAAGCAAAGGACCCTGTATTAGCATAAGAATGGTTTGTCAGTTCTTCCAGGTTTAACTTTGTAAACTCGTACTTTTTGCGCTTGAAATAGTGTTAGGCTCAAGGGTACATGCCAAATTTTTTGCTGTCCGGTTCATTCTGGGAGGTAGGCTATGCACAATAGCCTCAAAATGAAGCAAAAACTTGAAAGCAGGAGAAAAAAGTTTTGAAATGCGAGTGTTTGAAGCCCATTCCTAAGAATGACTTTAAACTTAATGCCACACTTATTAGGACACTAATTTTGTCCGGCACAGGCAACAAATATAGTCCGCTTATACTCAGATTTTAAAAACCTGTGATAATAACTACCGTTAAAGAAACTCCCTACGCTATTATCTCTAGTTTTCACTCACTCTTACGTTACTAAAGAGGAAATCGGTTCAGAAATATTAAAATCACTTATCCGAAACTACAGAGCTATTAAAGATTTGTAGCGGGTTTCGGAACCAGGGGCTCCGAAATATATATCCGCAACACCGCACTGATTCTCAAGAAGTTTAGCGTTAACATAATTTCTATTTGTATCGTGAAATATATCAAGATTTAAACTCCTACTCTACACGTTAAAATTCCAACCAGTTTTGCAATCCTTAAGCCCGTATTTTACACAATCTGCACGCAGTCCCTCAAAGAGAATCAATCACGAGAATTCGTAGCTCACAGATTTAAGGAATTAAGTGCAATTACCTTTCTAATTTCATCCAGCACCGTTTCAAAGGACTTTTTGTCCATCTTGACTACTATCTCGACGAGAGGAGTTACAGTTTCAATTACAAAACGTTCATCCCTGGTCCGCTCCGATAGTAAAAACGTTTACAGCTGAGAAGAAAAAAGACTCAAGGAGCAGAATAAAGGATGCGAAGAGGTAGAGTACTTCAAACTCTGCAAAAATTTCTAAAAGTGCAGACTTATAAAAACTTTTTATTAAAAACAAAACCCGTCAGGCTTCCCCAGCTTCTTTACACAAAGCTTCAGGACCCCCTCGGGGAAGAGAAACCCGAGGTTCGGTGGCCGGAGGCAGAGCGTCGGTCCCCGCAGCTCAAAGGCATGCGCCGCCGGGGGAAGGTCCGGAAGCCGCCTTCCCGAGTTGAGCGGCCCGGAGAGCAGAGGCACCCGCGCCCCAAATCCCGCGGGCGGCGAGGAGGGAAGCACCGGCTTCTCGGCCCGCACTTGCACCTCGGCCGCCGCCGGCCGCCCCTCACCGCCGCGAACCGGGCCTCATGGCCCGCCTCGCGCTCACTCCCAGCAGCTCCGCCGGACTCCTGGGTCCCGTAGCCCGGGCAGCAGCGGCCTGGCAGCTCTTTGTTACCAGCTGCCACCGCTTCCGGGAGCGGGCCGGCGGCCGGCGAACACCGGGAGCCGGGCGAAGGGGGTACCGTCTCAGGTAGGGGGACTCCCGAAGACCGCAGCGCCAACGGCGCCAAGAGCCCTTCCTGGTTACCCCCAGAGCTTCCCCCGGCTCGTGGGGTCCTTCAAAGGAGCCCGTCGCGCCAGACTAAAGTCAACTTTGCGCCGTCTGCTGAAGCCACTCTTCGCGGAGAGCCTGTGGAGGGGTCCTGGTGTGGGAATGTAGGTGTCCACAGCGGATGCCTGGATGTCTCGGAATTGGATGAAGTTGAAGTCTTTCCCAGAGCCTGAAAGTTATTAATCAAACCTTAATTCTAAGGTTTGACTGTGCTAATTATTGGTTGTTAAGTCTGAATTTAAAAGAATGAACGTCGAGTAGTTAAGGCATATCTAAGGGCGCCCCGATTTTGGCGGACCGGAGAGGTCCATAGCGTGGACCGTCCGAAGGGTGGTCACGGGGTAAACCCGGGGCACGTGACAAGGGGAGGGGAGGGAGGGGAGGGAGGGGAGGGGCGGGGGGAGGCGGGCGGTGGGAACGCCTTGAAAATCCGGAACCCCGGTTCTGATTTTCTTTCGCCCTGGTCTTTGCTGCCTTCTGGTTCTCTCTTAGGCGCACTGGAGCTAGGAGCTCAGTGCAGCGACGAACCGCGTGGACCTGAGGCTGTCCGGGCGGCCCCCAGCCGCCTGCTTATTTTCTCCCTCGCCAGGATTCCTGTCTAGTCATGACGAGATTCTGGGTCTGCGTAGCCGGCGCTGGCTTCTTTCTTGCGTTTCTGGTTTTCCATTCTCGATTTTGTGCTTCTCGGGTGAGTTGGATAGTGAGGAAATGGCTGTCGGGTGTGTGGATAGCACTGTGGGGAGACGGTCTTGGGATGGAGGTGGCGCTGGTTCTCTTACTAGTTCATCTCAGAACCTGCACCGGGGGCCGAACCGCCGACGCGTTGCCTGTTTCTTAGCGTTAAAACGTGTGTAATATGGTACATCGCTATTTTCCTTATTTTCTCTTCTTTCCCAGTTCCCGTTACCTCTTTACTTTGCTTTTAAAATTTCCTGGAGACCTGAGGAAGCCCTTTACCGGCTGGATGTGGATTGGCCTAAGTATTCAGAATACTTCACTGGAGCAACATTTTGTGTTGCAGTTGACTCCCTCAACGGATTGGTTTACGTAGCCCAAGTAAGTAAAATTGGGATTTTTTTTTTTTTAGGTTATGGATACAAAGAAAACAGTTTTCCTGTCTCACCGAACTCAGTAACTGTATACGTTTATATTACGCCAATTGTAGAGTTCGTTTCTTGAGTTAAAGTTAATACTTTGGTTTTGAACGCGGTAGAGATTAATATTGTAAGGTTTTGTAGATGGTTTTTTAAACGTTCCTAAATTCCTCGGTTAACCTGTAATTTTTGTTTCTCTTTGCCAAAATAAAGATTGCTTCCTTAAAAGTGATCCTATCTAAGCCGTTATTTTTGTATACCTTCAGAGAGGGGATAACATCCCAAAGGTATTAGTGTTCACAGAGGATGGATATTTCCTACGAGCCTGGAATTATACAGTTGACACACCTCATGGTATATTTGCAGCCAGTACACCACATGAACAATCCGTCTGGATCACGGATGTAGGAAGTGGTATGTTTAGTAATACCTATTAAATTATCTTGCTAGAAATCACATCTTTGCCCATGTTCTTGCTTGTCCATTTTAAAATCAGAGTGGCCGAATCTAATTGTAATTCCTTTAATGATTCGTGAAATCGCTTGTTTCTAAATCTTTATATTGTGCTTCCGTAGAATCAAGACATTTAACAAGGAGGCTATAATTATTATGATCTTTCCTTTAAGTTGTCACAGGGCTTTTGCCTTTTAAAATATCAGTTGCTCTTCCTACAGTAGATAATTCTAAACTTCTTCTGTGAAGCAAAATAAAATGGCGATCTCTAAAAGCTAATGAATGGAGTCCTTGCCTTTAGGTTTCCTTTACCACTTCTCTTTCAAAAGAAATTATGCTGATAACAGAAGTTATAATAGGCTAAGTGCCTGATAGTTTTAAACAGATCTCATGTGACAATATAATGAAAAATCTTTGACTTCAGTTTTTGCTGTTGAACCACATGCTTTAAAAAGTGAGAAAAAAATTATTCCCGGTGAAACAAGAGAGAGAGAGTGAGATTATGCTGAGAAACCAGAACTGCTTTCTTGCCCAGAGTAGAAGATCTGCACAAACTGCTGGTAATGTTTCTGAAATCCCACTGACATCAGCATGTCTGAAACCTTCCTTCTGTCGAATATTTTTAGTAGAATGTGCTGCAAAACAAAGGAAGCACAGTTGAACTTAAAACCGTGAGATAAGTTTTCAGAGATGACTGTTTGCTTGTGCTTGTAGCTTAAGACAAGATGGTATAAGAGATAACCTGGTATTGTCTTAGGATCTCCGGAAGGAAAGAGATCTTAAAATATTTCTAGTCTTGTCCCAGTTATGTTCATGGCTTGAAGGTCCTTCTGTTTCCCCACTTCTGGCTAATTCAGATACCGTTTTGGAATTAAAGAGGTCTCAGTTTTTGTAAGAAGTGCCCTTACCACATCTGTTCTCAGAACCCAAAAGATTTCTGAGCCTCAGCCCCGTGACCCATTTATTTAAAGCTGTATTTTGGATGGTGAGATTTTGGTTAACCCCCCAAAATCTAAGTTATCTCTGAGTTCATTGTTAGACTCTATGAAATTTGATTATTTTCGCTTTTTATTTATTTTTTTTCTTTTCTGGATTCACTGTTAAAAGAGGCCATTACTTTTTAATTCGTTCCATTCATGTGATCCTTTTTTATAAAATACTTCATTGGTTCCCAGAAATAAAAAGAACACACATGATCTCTTCATTCTTTCCATTATAGGTTGTTTTTCCACACACAGATCTGAAGACAGTTTTTCTATTCCTTCCTATATTTCGAAGAATAAATTCTCTTCAGTAAAAACACGGCTGCATATCATAGCCATTAAAAAAAAATATTTACTGGTATTCTATTTCTTTTCCAATTCCTCAGAGACTTTGTAGTTTGCTTTCTTTAATGTTTTGTTCTCTTATTATTGCTACAGACTTTAGCTCAAGTCTCCAAAACAAGTATAATAATAAATACAATTGTCAAGATAGGATTGTAATGCAAGCTGATTCACTTTATTTCCAGAGACCCCATTGTTTCCAATTTATCATTTGAATGCCTACCAGTTAGTTGGTCTTGGTATGCCTTCAAGTTGGTTTCTGTTAACTGCTTTATAGTTTTTCCCTATTTGTAAATATTCCACTTTATACTTTTGCTTGTAAGATAATTTTAACTCAAAGAAGTTTCAGTGTGAGAAGATAATATACTGGTGATTTGGAAAGATTTATTCCTTTCTTAGGAAAGAAAAGCTAATGGGTTGAATTTTGTATTTGTTTCCACTAGGAGAAAATGTAGCTTAAAAAAGTCAGTATTGTTATAAACCAATGTTACCACAATAAAAAAAAAAGACTTAAAAAAATTAATACAAGAATAGATATAAATGACTTTCATAAACAGAAGTTTGTATTATAAAGAACTTTTTCAGTCACCCACTGAAATTGGAGATCTGCCCGTGAATCACTGGAATAACAGTTTTCAAATATAAGTTGTTTGTTTTCCAGATCCTTCTTAATTTTCTTATACAAGTAATGCTTATTCAAGGTCATAAGATTAAAAGAAGAAAATGGTGTACCAGTACTTTTACATCATGAGCCTTCTGTTTAAGGAGTCAATTTTTTTTTTTTTTCAGTTTTCTTTATTTGGATTTAGAATCTTACTTTGGAGTACCTGAGGTTTTAATTCATGAACGGATTTGGCTATAACTAATGAAGCTCTATTGCTTGTCAAATATAACATTTAATTATCTGAGCTTTTTAACTTTTTATTGCTATTTAATTCTGTTAAATTTTTGCTCTCAGCTTACTTGAAAAATGTGAATGTTTGTACTATGGTTATATATTTGAAATGTGCATGTCTATCTTTATAGGACTCTACGGTCATACTATTAAAAAATACAATTCCTTTGGTGATCTTGTTCAAGTTTTGGGTACCCCAGGCAAAAAAGGCACTGGTTTAAATCCCCTGCAGTTTGATAACCCTGCAGAATTATATGTAGAAGACACAGGGGATATTTACATTGTGGATGGAGATGGAGGATTGAATAACAGGTTGATCAAATTGTCCCAAGGTACGTGGCTTAGTTTTGTATGGTATTATTGCAATACTTTAAAACTGAAGGAACGTTTTGGCCAATCCAATATAAGAATGTTACTTAATAAGTTGGATTTAAGTTGTCTGGTACTCAGTATAACTTCAGTCTTTGCCTCTATCTTCACATTTCCTTCTTCTCTGTGTGTCTCTTTGTCTCAAATCTCCTCTCCTTTCTCTTATAAGGGCACTAGCCATTGGATTCAGGGTCTGCTCTAAATGCAGAATCACCTCATCTCAATACCCCTAACTTATTGGAACTAGGGCCTTTGCAGATACAATTAAGGTCACATTCACGGCTCTGGAGATTGAGACTTGGACATATCTTTTTCTGGTGGGGCTGGGGCGAGGGACACCTTCAACTCAGTACAGGGGAGTTAAATAAGATGGCCTGTAGAAACGTAATTTTTAAGCTCAGAGGAATGGTAATACCAAATAACAGGTTGGTTATAAGGGGAACCAGTTTCAGGACAAGGTTGACATGAACCCTAAACAGCGGTTTTGAGTTATGAAAAATTCAGGTGGAAACAGTCATTAAAGAAGCAGATTAATTGCTTGAAACAGGGAAAGAATTTTTTTAAGCATACAAATTAGTCAAATGGATGTATAAACAGAAAGCCAGGAAAACATCAGCTGGGGGTATAACTGAATACTTTGTAACTTATGACATAAAGTATAACATGTAAATGCATAAGGTATTCTGTATGTTGTTCTGACCATATATGTGTACCATTTATAGATTTCATGATCCTTTGGCTACATGGAGAAAATGGGACAGGGCCTGCTAAGTTCAGCATTCCTCACAGTGTTACAGTTGATTCTGATGGTCGGGTAAATATACAGCGTCGCTGGGGACTGTCTGAATATATGGGGGTGGTGCAGAGCATGGATATATGGGCACACGGGAGTGTCTAGACATTTGGATACGTGTGTATGTTGGTGGATGTGTGTATCTGGGTATGTCTGGGCAATTCCTCTGGGTATATCCACATACTCTCTTACAAATGTTTGGGTCCTATAATGAAGTTCCCCAAATATTTAGAAATGAGCAAAATAGATCACTCTGTCATTTAAAGGATAGAAGAAACAAATAATGGAACAGGACATAAGTGAAGTTGCCTGAAAAAAAAAGAGTTGTGTTGAGAACGTGTTGATCAAAAGGGAGATGGAAGAGGTTAATCTTGGAAGCTTGAAAAAAGGAGTGACCAGGCACACTCTAGTTCTCCAAGTGACCTAGCTCTACTC